GTGTGTGTGTGTGTGTGTGTGTGTGTGTGTGTGTGTGTGTGTGTGCGCGCGTGTGTGCGCGTGTGTGTGCGCGTGTATGTGCGTATGCGTGTGCGCGTTCGTTTGCAAGTTCGTGTGCGTGTACGCATGTGTGTGAGTGCGCGCGTGGGTGTATGTACACTTCTATTTTAATTGGATAACACCGCTTGTATTGCATTGTTTGGCAGTACCTTTTTTTCATAAACGACACTTAACATACAGATGTGAACAGTGTAACCAACATAGAAGTATGTCATTCGTATGGGTAGAGAAAAGTTTACGTGGCGGTTCCCTGTAGAGTTAAACAGCAATGTGTATTTTTAGCTTAAAACTCATTTCTCTTCAAGGTGTCTAGAATATTTACTATCCCGCGATCTGATCGCAAGCAGCGACTAAAAGTCACGACTCTCATACAAACCAGTTCTACGTTAGCGTTGCCACCGTAACCTTCACTCGCATTTAACAAGTTTTAGTGACCAATTTGTACGCCCGGGTCCGCATGGAAGGAAGTCGTATATCACGTTGTTCAGCATACAATCGTAAACGCCACCGATACGGATAAATGAACCACCAAAGTTAATTATTTGCGATGTTTCCACAAAGGTGATCATGGTGGTCCACTGAACACCTTCTTAGCTATTTCTCACATGTTTACGAGACGCCTGTACGCCCGTTTTACACCGTTTCAGTAGCAACTACACGCATGCCTGCCCAGATAGTAATGATTTAATTGACGCTACCTGCAATAAAAGTGTAATAAGGTTTTTCGCATGCGCGTAACAATGTTATTAACACGGGCGGACTGATGTTTCAGTGGCGAAACCGATAGACCCTAAAAGTCAAGACGTTGTTCTATTGGCTGTACGGTTATAAGCACCTGCTGCCGAGGAACTGGTGACGGGTGCTAATAAATTACAAGCGTAAAGCGTGTGTAATATATAAAACAACCCTGGCGATAAACCAAATTCTAGTGGCATCTGTTTTGCTATACGTATATTTTTCCACGACATTTTTCGTTCATAATTCATTCGCTATCCCATTCTGCTAGCACTCCTGTTATTCCCTAGTCTGGTGTTACGTATTAAACTTGCGTTCCCTGTCTGTTACACCTGTGCCAAAGGTTTATTATGCCTTATTAGTTCATTAATTTCCGTCTTCTATCGGCCTCTTTATAATGACCAATCCTAGTCCTCATTTTCCGTTTCTCCACCGGGCTCTTCTTAATTTTGTGTGCATATATCTTATTCTAGTCGAGAGCGAAAATTGCTAAAATTTCACTTGCAACAACAGCCTTGATATGACACGAAAAGATTTATCCGGCGATCTTGCAAATAGCCTCCATATATGCGTAACCAACGACCCAGGAGACGCTCATGCTCTAGGTAACTGGACATCGCATCTGGGCAGGCACTTACCTAGGTATGCGATAATATGTCAGCCGACAGACAATGGGCCGATGATGGATGACCAAAAATTAACATAGTTTACACACAAACCGCGACGTTCTCACGATATATACCTTACAGATTGCGACTTTAACAATGTTGAGCCCTGTCGTGTGTTAGCGTGACTTTGACGGGCAGCAGCATAGTCCACAGTCGTTTACTATATACAAACTAATTCCGATTACTTGGAGTACAATATCATTAACAGATTATGCTCCTTACTGGGGGAACTAGCTACGCGGATGCTCGAGTGTTTCTAAAAAATATCGTTGTATAAGAAATATTTTTTCGTGAACTCCGCCGTGGTTATGAAGCTACTAGTACTATCAGCAAAAAGTGCGTGTATTAGCGCTGCAGCTCAAAGCAAACAAGTGGCAGAAGAGTTCAAAATTAGAAACTGTTTAAATAAGTTTTTGTAACAAAGGTCACAAAAACAAGCAATATCTCTACACTCGTCTAATCTCCGTCGTAATCCTATTGTTTAGTTTTCTATTTCACGTGGCCATGTCAATGTTTGTATTACGTATTTATGTATTCCGTAAAAACGTTGAAAAGCTGCCGACAGGTGTCTCTCACAGTCTGGAATTTTCAGGGCAGGTGGTGATGCGTCATCTTCTAACTAACCAGCCTGCGAGGGACGCGCTGCTGATCTATGACAATACAAACCACCGAAGTAACTAATAACCGATATGCTAGCGGAAAGAAGAAAAAAAGTTACATCAACTGCATTTTAGAATCTGTTGGCTGTCGTTCGCGCATTATAAGTCATCAATAAAGCATTGTTGCTAATTACAAATTTTCTATAAATATTTAACAGTTTACGAAAGTAGTGAATTGCTATTTCGGAATATTTCTGTCATATCTACGTAGCAATCTTTACAAATCAGGACAAGAAACCCATGTAAGAAGCCAGCGCTATATTTATTCCACTCCTTGCATCTTTTACACTTATATACAAATAAACTTGATGAAGCAGCAGATACAAATATACATAAAACTAATAGCTATAAGTGCCTAGGTCAGTAAGCGAGTACTTGATGCATGAGGTGCCTAGTCAGCTTTCTCGCCCACTACACAGAGAGATTCGATTTTGAAATGTTTGCAAAATAAATTTCTAACAAAGATTTATTAGCTATATTTCAGCCTACTCGTATCTGGTATTATACGTCGATACTTATAATGATAAATTTAAATTGTTTGCGCTTCCTGTGTAGCGATAATATATACATGTGTTGTAGTTGGTGTTTCGTAAGTTTACAATGCCGACTGGCATTTTCCACCTCCGTTTATTCACCCACTCGTCATAATTATTAATATATTTTATGTTAAGATGTGAAACCTATTTTTTTAAGACAAAACCATGAATATTCGTTAAAGTAGATCGAGTTTATTCATGCTATCACGAAAGTTGCAAGATATGTACATTGCGTGTCTGCTTTAAAAGCTACTTTTCAATCTGTTATCGATTATATCGATTATAATTGACTATATATAGATATATAGTCGGACTAACCATAAACAACTTACAGTAGTCTACGCGCAATTATACGATGATGATAATATTCGATTTTACCAGGAGGTGAATATAGTGACAGACTCATCCCTGATTTTTGATAATGTTAATTCACCCCTAGTTTTTTCAGTTACAGACAAAGAGTGAATTTCTCTTAATTTCCCTTTACATTGCACTAACAGATTCTACTCAAAATCCTCAGTATGATAGAGCAGTGGATGCACATCCATGGCAATTATATAATTTAATACACGTAATAGCTATATCGTCAGTCCTACATAATTTGTCATTGCGAGATTAACGTTAGCCCAGACGTTCGCGTCAATACGGTCCAAAACGAAGTAAAGCGAATATCATCTTCGCTTTGCATCTTTCCACACCATGTCAGACAATAACCATTTTCTAAAAACGCCGCTAGCATCAGGAAGATGGCTGGCTCTCACGATGTTGTTGGTCTGGTGAAGACCGGTTAAACCGGGGGGTCCTGCCTGCATCACAATGCTGATGTTGGCTTATTTTCGGTTCGGTTCATGACGATCCCTCAATAACTATTTTAACCCCTAAGGATGCGTTAAATGACCTTACGAATAGACGGTTCCATCACTCTGGCAGCTTCGTAACGTGCAGAGCTGACAGGTACATTTATCGATATAGTCGTATGCTTGGAGTCCGATAAGTATCAATCACAAAATACTAAAAACAATATCATTACAAACCCACGCGATATACGCTGAGAGAGATGCACACGTCTGCGGTTGTGAATAAACAGAAAACACATCGTACGTAAAAACACATTAGCATAGGTTGAAATTTCAAACGCGCCGTGAGTGCCAAGTTAATTATAAAGAAACCACGCTTGTTGATGCTGAATGTAAGAGCTACAAAGAAGGGTTGATACGTTGCATGCGGTTAAGTAGGGTTAAGTAACCATATGCTAACGTAAATATTTTGATAGCAGCAGCAGTAGCAGCAGCCGCCTCAACGGTATAAACTGCACACTGATATGCTAATAAACGAAAAACTAAACGGACCGAAAAAAGGGCAAAGGATCATCGTGGTATCATTCAATCGAATATCAATCGATCGTGTTATTTACTAATGCCTTTTTTATTTTAACGTATCATCAAACCTTTCGTGAATGGAATCAATGCGGGAATTGAGAGCAATGTTCTGGTTGTCTACTGATGATCAGTTCGAGTGTAACCAATTCGAAGCGCAATCAGTCCTGTTTCGTAACTGTGCGATTCACTCGAAGCGAAAACCACTCAGATGCACTGCTGGGTACCACTATGATCTCGTCGGTACCACATTATGGCAGTAGCTCATGGGTCATTATAAAGCGTTCCCAAATCTTGACTGTATCAACTTCCTTACTACCAGATTGATTATAGGGGAGTCGTAAACACATATAAAACATTGTTTATTCATCATAGCATGGCATAAAGTAAATTAATACAGACCAACGCAGACGGTATAAAATATTACACGCATTCACGTCAGGCTAATAGCCGGCTATAGTATATGCGTGCTACATCGGGAAATGACGACGACTCCGATCAACAGGTATTACAGCTAGATGCTACGCACTCGATGACATGAATCACCATTAATACGATGGGTAGTATATTTCGCTGCACCCACCTACAGGCAAACATTTATGCATACATAGACTGCCAGCGAGTAGCAAGTTATACTTTGTTAGACTACGCATGAATGTCACATTCCGTGATACAACAGCACCACCTGTCAAGCTCCAAGGTTGCTTTTCGAAAGCGCTTGATGAGAGAATATAAGCATATCGCCAGAGATTCACTTGGCTATAGGAAACTTCTGGCAACGCGGTGTGCGCGAGTCAACCAGTCTTCATATGCATTTGTAAACAGTCTCGATGCTGCGACAGATCTCGCATTCCACTTCGCAGCACCAGTGAAATCGACACTTGCAGTTTCTTCTCACCGTCTGCTGGAATTTTTGATAGCCTCTGCCGCAGCATAAGAGATCACAGCCTCCGACGTCAATAGACGTGTGATTGCATTCTCGACCGTGTGTCCCCAAAGAACCTGTATTTTTCTCAGCCTCGCAGAAGTCTGGAGAAGACTCGGAGTATATGAGATCCATTTCTTGGGGCGGTTTTATCGTTTTACCCTCTGCGGGAATAAGCGAAAGTCCATCGTTACCCGCCATCACGCGAGCAGCTCCGTTAAACTTTTCTTTCAACAGATTTCCGACTTCGCGGAAGATGGGCATTTTTCGCCAACAGGTTTTCAACGTGCACGAGCCGGATAAACCATGACACTTACATTCCGTCCGCATGAAATTCTTCACTGACTGCAATAAAAAAATGAGCAAAGCTATAAGAGTTAATACGGCTTTTACTAGACAGCGTACGATGCAGCAATGATGAGGAGAGAAGATGCTAAAATATCTATTTCAGGTAATTATTGTAGTCCAATCTATCGATATTCATATTAATTACTTAGAAAAATAAACACGCCGTATTATACACACACAAAAATACACACACACACACACACACACACACACACATATATATATATATATATATATATATATATATATA